GCGCCCGGGGAGCCGGGGCCGGGGGCCGGCGTCCGAGGCCCGGGGGCGAGAAGGGTGCGGCCCGAGCTGCTCCCAGGTGCTATTCAGCAGAGTCCTCCCGCCCCCTCAGTGACACCTGCCCCCTGCCCGGCACTGCAGCAGGGGGTGCTGTGGGGCCCCGGCCCCAGCGGCGCGATTTTGGTCTTCGTTTTTCTTTTATATTTCCCGTCGCCCCCTCTTTTGTTTTTTGGGCGGGCGGTGAGACAGGGGGTAGGGAAAACGCTGCTCACCCCAACACCCCTAGGTCTGCCTCCCACCCCCCCACACACACACACACACTCACGACTGTTGCAGACACCCCCTGCGCCTGTCCCGGGCTTACCCTCAGCCGGCGGACCCGGACCTCCAGTTGCCTACAACTCCAGTCGCTACCTTGAGTCTCTTTTATATTCTTTCTTGGTTTTCCTTTGCAACCCACCAGACCCCAGGCCCCGCGAGAGGCCTGGTGACCAAGGAACCCACCGTCTGGGGGAGGGAGTGAGGAATGAGGGGGGGGAGGGCTGGAAACTTTGTTTTGTAGAGAACTATTTTGGTTTGTATTAACGTCTCCCGTAAGGAGGGACATGAGCCGGACGCTGGTCACCTCGGGCTGGTTGATGGTGTATAACCTGACAAAGAATCTGCTCACTGCTGCCTCCAGGGCCTGTTTTCTTTCTGTCTGTGTTCATTTACACCCCGCAGGTTTGGGGTTTAAAGAGAAGCCCACAAAATAGCCTTAAAGAAACTTTCACTATGGGGGCCACCACCTCCCCAGGCCCTCCTGTGAATGAGAACAGCCAGCCCTCCTCCTCGGCCAGGCGTGGCCCTGCCAGCGATGCGCCTGTTAGGAGCTTCCCCAAACTTGAGATCTTGTCTCCCTGCCCACCCCCAAAACCTCCAGAGCTTTTGGCACTTTTCTTCAGCTGTCTTCAAATTGAAAAGCACATGGCGGATGTTGACACCGTTGCTGGGAAGTCCAAGGCAGATGACCGGCGGAGCATTCTAAGAAGCGTGACTTCCAGGCTCCAACTTATAAATCGGGATGGATGTGTAGTCTCACAGCTATGGACCCTGAGCCTCAGGCCCACTGTCTGCTGCCACCGCCTCCTTCCAGCGACCCCCCGCTGGCCAGAGATTCCCAAGGTGGGCGCAGGCAGGTGGAGGTGGGCACTGCAAAGATCCACAGCAGACCACCCTCTCCTTCCCTTTTCCCTGCTGATGATCAGGGTGGGGATGGCGGAGGGGACCCAGGGGCAGAGTGGGAGTTGTGAGAGGAAGCTCTGAAGAATGGGGTCCATCAACTGAGGCCCTTGGCCACAGGAGGCCCCCTGTGGCTCTCTCCAGCCCTTGGGGGTTGCACTCCCCCCTGCTTGTTCTCCAGAAGGTCCGGATTTCCCTCCCCATGTACTTACTTACTTCTGAGCAGGTTCCAGCCCCACGGTCAGGTTCTGCTTCCTAGTTGCTCCCACAGCCCCCACCTGCAGTTCCCCTCGGGCGCCGGCTTCCACCAGCTGCAGCCGCTCTTTCCAGGCTAGGAGCTTTAGACCTGAGCCCCTCCCTCAAGTCCCCAAAGCAAGGCTAAGATGGAGTTTAACACAACTTGGCCTTGAGAACGACGAGAGATCACAGCACAGCAAAGCAGCAGGAGCTACAACCGATATTAAGTATGACTCAGAGCATCTCAAGGCCAAACGCCACCCCTCCTGGCCGCCTCTCTCGCCTCCCACCCCCAACACCAGGTTGCAGGGGTCAGTTCCCAGCCCCCAAAGGAAGTGCCTTCCGTCAAGTGCCCCCTGGCTTCAGCCCCACCATCCCCGTGGTCCAGCCTCACCTTCTTCCTCACTGACAGAGCCCCACTTAGCCCAGCTAAAATAAAACATCTCTGGGGCCATAGGAGTGGCCATGTGACACAGTTCTGGCCGATGAGATGTAAGCAGGAATGACGGGTGGGACTTCCAGAAAGTTCCTTAGAAGCCTCCCTTCCCTCCTACTCCCCACCAAACCTCAGTTGGCCAAGTTTTGGGCCCTCCCTTTCTCTTTGGCCCCTCGCCCTGGTGTCCAATCAGGGCTGGGGTGAGGGGCCACGCAGCAACTCTGGGTGTGAGTGTCCCCTCGGGATAGTGGAGCCAGGATGGTGGAAGTTGCTTTTCTGAGAATCTAGCAGAGCCAGGACTAGCACTGGTTACCGACCTCTGCACTTCTTAATGTGTGAGAAAAAGAAATCTTGATGAGATTAAACACTGGGATTTGGGTTTTCTGTTACATGCAGACTTACCAATTCCTAAGTTATTGGCTCTCCCCACGCAGCGTCCAGGCCCCCTGAGTCCACCGAGGCCAGAGAAACTAAAACCCTCCTTCCCTCAGCCGTAGCCCCCAGGTCCTAACACTGCCCACGACGAAGATGGCAGAACACAGCATTAGGCCAAGGAGCTCAGGGCCTTGCTGTCTCGAACCCCCTCTTTCCAGAACAGGACCTGCCTCCACCTTCAAATGAGTACAGGGGCAGGCTGACCAAAATCCACCTCTGGATAACCACCAACGGCTGGCTGCGATTTATAAGCAATTGTCACCTTCGTCCTAATCATCACGATACTAAAATAGAAAGGAACCACAATAATTCACCCCCAAACACACACACAGTCTGAGGTCCAGTGTCCATAACAGAAGCAGAACTTGGGACAGGGATTCGGTGCGGGAGTTTGCTGAGCTGGTGAGGGAGTTAGGATGGGGAGGAGGGAAGGGCCCAGCACGGGGGCCACCGAGGGGGCTCTGGGGCATGAATTCGATCTTGAGGCAAGGGGTCAGCCTCATGTCAGTCGTTGGCTTCCTACTGGTTTGGGGGGGCTGAAGTATAAGCCCCCCGGTACAGAAGGTGGGCGCTGTGAGCTGTTAACAGGCCAGCAGCAGTGGAGGGGCGGCTCCCATACAGGGGCTCTAGGCTGGGCACCAACGGCTTCTACTGCACACACACAGCCTTTGTGTCACTCTGGGTGTGTCCCCAGAAGACTCCTGAGGGGGTCTGGGAGGAGACGGGCCTCGGTGGGCAGCACTCCCTCCTCCCCGACCTCTCTCAACCCCACTGGTGCTGTGTCAGCTTCCCTGGGACCAGTCTTTGTGTGAGCAAGGGCCGGGGAGGCGGAGCATGTCGTAAATCCAAGTGGCAGCTCCAGTCCCTGAGGACACAGCTCAGGCCCTGACCCCGGCGGGAGGGCAGAGGGGAAGTTGCCAGTGGCCGTTTGGAAAACTCTGACATCTTCCAGGCAGCAGGGAGGAGGAGAAGCAAGGTTAGTGGAGCCCAAAGTCATTGCCCAGCCTCTTTTTAACGGTGCACTCTTGTCCCCAGAGCTCGCATGCTGACATCTGGGTCTGAGAGGTGAGGAGAAGGCTCACAGCTCAGATGACAATAGCCACCTGTGCGCAGGCTCTGTGCACACGTTGTTACATTTAAAAGTCATCTTCACCCTAGGACAGGCTTCTCAGCCTCGGTGCCTTTGACATTTGGACTGGATACTTCTTTGTCGTGGGGATAGGTGGGTGGCTGCCCTGTGCACTGTAGGATATTTAGCAACATCCAGGCTTCGGGCCACTAGATGCCAGTAGTACCTCCTTCCCGGTTGTGACAATCAACAGTGCCTCCAGGCGTTGCAAATTGGAGGCAGGATTGCCCCAGGTTGAGAACCAGGTGCAAGGGGTTGTCATCCCCATTTTACAGAGGGGGAAGTGGCGGTTCGGAGAGGGGAAGTAACGTGCCTGAAGTCATACTTGCTCAGAAGCAGGGGCAGGAGTTGACTCAGGTCAGCCTGACCCCGGAGCCCAGTTGAACCCAGGCCATGCAGCCCCAGCAGGGGCATCCACCCAGCAGGGGGACCTGCAACCGCTCCTGCTCCTGCCCGCTTCCCGCCGCCGCCTTGCAGCAGAGCAAGGAGCCCTGGGGAGCCGGGCTTCATCCGAATGGCTTTGCTGTCAGGAGAAATCCCTGTCCACCCGCCCTCCGCAGCTCGCCCCCTGCCCCCGCCTGCCCCCTCTAAATCAGCGGGCCTGCTGCGTCGGCCTTCCGCGGCCGGCCCCACCATGCCTTGTGGTTATGCGGCACTGATGGGTGCCCGGGGAGCAGCCATCGGCGTCTCCCGCTGAGAGGGGCCTCACCCCACACCGGCACCGCACCCCTGCCCCGGCCCCGTGCTTCCGCTGGGCCAGCCTCCCCCAGCCCCCGAGGGACGCCCAGCACGTCTCTGGCCAGAAGAGTTAAGAGGCCCAGAGAAGAAAAGCTTTACTTGTTTATTTTTCCTTTTTAAAACACAAATCACGACTGTAGGGAAGTTAGACATACAGAAAAGCAAGATAATAATTTTTAAATTAAAATCAACCAGAATCCTCCATCCGGAGCTAATAACTGTTAACGTTTTCTGATGTACATTTCTGGTGCTTTTCCATAAAACAAACCCCCACGCAGTTTCCCCCGCCTCTGTTGAGCCCGGGGCTAAGCTTTGTGCTGAAGCTTGACATCCTTATTTCCAGGATCCTGGCAATGAAGCTGAGAAGTGGGCTCCAGTAATATAGCCATTTCACAGCTGAGAACACTGAGGCTCCAGAAATGTCCTGGTCAGAGAGATTAGGCACAGCACCAAAAACCAACTTCGGGTGATTTAGCAGAAAAGGAGATTATTTGAAGTATCGAGGGACTCACAGACACACGATGGGGGAGCTAGATGCACGGAGGGCGCCATGAAGCCAGGAGCGACGCCCGGGATCCTGCCCACAATGGGCCAGCAGAGCTGCTGTCCCTGTGGGCTCAGATGCTGCCTCGGGCACCAGCCCCATCCCCAGGCCTACCCCCTGCTGGCCTCCCCACCAGGCCCCCACCGTGTACCCACACTCCCGAGTCCAGCATTTCCTCCTCCATCAAGGGAGGTGGGCTGTCTTTCCTCAACCGGAGGAAGGGCACAAAGAAACAATGACTGTCCCGCACAGAGAGGGTAGGCAAGTCACCCAGGGTCACACAGCCAGGAAGAGGCAGAGGCCAGGATGCAAATCCAGTCTTTCTGGTGCAGAAGCCCAAGCTTATAACACTGAGCCACACAGCTGCCACGTTCTTCCTCTATTTTATTTATTTTTACTAATATGGCCTCATCTTATATACACACTTCCTTATCCCGCTTTATAAAATTTAGCAATATATCCTTAATATCAAAGGAGGTCTTTTAAAATAAAAAAGAAATGCAAGACCCCCTCCTTTCACTTTTTCTTGTTGCCTGTCGCCCTCTTCCCCGCCCAGGGCCCGGGTCAGCTGGCAGCAAGACACCAGCTCCTTGCAAGAAGCCGTCACTCCCTCGCCCATGCGCCCCTCTGCTGTGTCAGGGTCTGGCCCGTCCCCCAGAGTCCCCGAGGCTGTGTTCCTGGTGGCACAGAAGACCTTGCTGTCCTACAAGGGTGGGTGGGCCCAAGGTCAGAGGTCAGGTGAATGCACCTGTGAGAGCAGTGCTCCAGATAACTTCTGGCCAGTCAACACCTTTGCTGACCGAGCCGGTGGCCCTGGGGACCCGGCCAGGAGTAGCTGGAATGGAATCCAGAGTCCCAGGATCTCCGGGAGCTGTGCCCTGCAGCTGACACTAAAGGCACTGGCCTGACCCACACTGTACGTTTCACAGCTGACCCAGTGCTCGCATTTCTCCTCTGAAGGGGAGGGTGGTTCCAAAGGCAGAAGGGATGGCGGTTAAGGGCAGAGACTCTGGAGTCCGACCACCTGGGCTCGAAGCTTGTCCTCCAGCACCTGGATGACCTCGGGCAAATTACTCAGTTTCTCCGTGCCTGAGTCTCCTCATCTGTGAAATGGGTTGTTAATAGTACCTACATCATCAGGCTCTTGTGAGGCTGAAACAAGTAATATGTGGAGGGCTTAGAACAGGGCTTGCACCAAGTCAGGGTCAGTAGGTGTCAGCTATTGTGATTCCATTTCCTCCCTCCCTCTCCCCCGCCCCAGAACTCCTGCCAAGTGGAGCAGTATCTCACCCTCTCCCCGCCCTTCCTCCCTCCCTCCCTCCCCTCCCTCATTCAGCATATACTCGAGTACCTCCCGGTGCCAGGCTCAGTGGCAAAATGACACAATGAGCCAGGCAGACCCCCCTTGCCCTCCCCTGACCCCCAACACCAGGCCCCACAGTGAGTGCCCTTCCCCACTCCAGTCATCCCGGCCCTTCCCATCTCTGGTGTGTCCCAGGCCAAGGCCCTGCGTAGACAGAGGTGGTTCCTGCCCTCTGGGAGCTCACAGTCTGGTCCACGAAACAGTGTGATGAGATAAAGATGGGAAAGCTCTTTCATTGTGTGAGGGAGTCTAGAATGGCAGTGTTGTCAGTCAGGTCAGGAGCTGGGAGAAGAGACGCCCAATAGGCAGGCAAGAGGGCTGGTTTGGTAAGGTAGGAACCCAGAGGAAGAAAGAAGAGAGGGAGAGGGAAGAAGGAGGGAGGGGAGGAGGGAGGGAGGGAAGAGGGAAGAAAGGGGATTATACTCCCCCGGCCTCTCTTTTTTTTGTGTGTGTGAGAAAGATCAGCCTTGAGCTAACATCCTTGCCAATCTTCCTCCTTTTTTTTTTTTTTTTTGCTGAGGAAGACTGGCCCTGAGCTAACATCTGTGTCCATCTTCCTCCACTTTATATGGGACGCTGCCACAGCATGGCCTGACAAGTGGTGCGTTGGTGCGCACCCAGGATCCGAACCTGGGCCGCCAGCAGTGGAGCGTGTGCACTTAATCGCTATGCTGTGGGGTCAGCCCCCCCCAGGCATCTCCTTAACATGGGCCAGAAGCCCACTCCCATCACCCTCACCGAGACCCACCATGTTTATAAGTTTATTAGATTTACTAGAGCGATTTAAATACTAGAAGAGGTCAGGCATTTGCAGGGTTTAAAAAGAAAATTAAAATAGATTTAGTTTTACAAATGCAATTGAAAAAGGAAGGAGTGATGTCCTGGAAAATGGCAAAGTAGGAAGCTCCTGGTTGGCCTCTCCACCAAAGCAACCAGTAGGCTATTAAAGAGATCAGAATCAACTGTTTCAAGAGCCTGATCAGATTCTCGCAGGGCCCAGGGGAGTGTCTGGTCAAGGAAGCAGCAGCAAGGATTTGTAGTTTTCCAGGGGTTTGGGAGCCAGACTGTGGGGGTACCCCCTGCTTATTCTTGCCTTTGGTTTTTTTCTCCCAGCCCCTCCCCAAGGCCTGACCCAATCATGGAGCTGCATGACCACCTGCTGTGGCAGCAGAGCGTGGGGTCCTAAAATCCTCATAGAAAACCCATCCCTCTGGCCAGAGGAGCCAGGATACGGTGTGCCTGTGGCCTGAACAGTGACAGTGTGTGGGCAATCCTTGTCACTTTTTAAAAAATCTCCTTTCTCTTGCTGCTTCACCCAGAGCGTGGCCTCAGTTAAGCACAGGGAACTGCAGTACAAAGATCTGTAGACTGAAGACCTGGGAAAGTTTGCTTTATTTGTTGCTCTAATCACCTAACATTATTATAGAACCCAGGCCACTGTAAATAAAAGCTCTCATGACATACGCCACCAGGACGGGGCAAAGGCAGGCGCCATCTGCGGGCTCCTGGCCCACCTGTGTGTTTGGGTGATTCTGGGCCCACCCCTGAGATGAAGCAGCAGGGCCTCTGAGCACTGAGTGGAGGAGCTGAGAAGCACAGGAGGCCCCTGGGCTCTTGGACGGTGACCTCTCATGTCCCAGTGGCGTGTATCAGTCAACTAGTCACTATGCTTTCAGCCCTCAGAGTGACTTTTGCTTATAGTCTCAGCCTCTCCTCTCTCTTGCTTAAAAACCCTCAGGGGCTCCCTACTGCCCTCAGGATAAGACCGACTTCTCGCCAGCCTAAAAGGCCCTGTGGGATCTGGCCTTCCTCCACACACCTGCAGCCTCATTGCCAGCCCCTGCCAAGGGGTTCTCAGACTCAGTCATGCTCTTTCTTCGTTGGGGTTTCCAGTTTTTGTCTGGAATGCCAACTTCTACTCCACCCTTAAGCTCTCAGCCTTCTCTGCCTCCCAAGCTAGAATGTCTGCTTATTGTGCACAGCATAACACTCTGTCCATCGTCTTTATATCTCATTCTTCTTGGCTGAAAAACACTGACTTGGGGGTCTTGGGCCCCGTCATTTAGTTCACACAGGTTCTGTGGGGCAGGAATTCCAATGCAGCTTAGCCCAGTGGTTCTGATGTGGGGACTCTCTTGAGGTTGCAGTCGAGGGGTCGGCCAGGGCTGCACCATCTGAAGGCTTGTCTGGGGCTGGAGGATCCACTTCCAAGATGGCGCACTCACTGCCCATGTTGATGCTGCTGGCTGTGGTCAGGAGGCCTCAGTTCCTCCCCACGTGGGCATCTCCTCACAGAGATTCTTGAGTGTCCTTGCAGCATGGTAGCTGGCTTCCCCCAGAGCAAATGACCCAAGAGAAAGCACTGCACTTCTGCAGTCACACATGCCATGATTTCCACTATATCCAAATTGGCAACACAGGCCAGCCCTGGTCAGTGTAGGAGGGGACTAAAAAACTAGGGGATTACTAGGAGGGACCAGTATATTCCGTGTCTGTGAGGGTTCAATTTAAAAAGGCAGAACCACTGTAAAAAATAAATGTAATGTATTAATTTCAAGGACTTGGCCTTATGCAGTTGTGGGAGCTGGGTAACTGTCCCTGTCAGACTCCTGTCTTCACGTCTGACGCTGGAGCTTGAAGTCTACAGGCCGTCAGGAAAGGAAGAGGGATGTAAAGTGGGAGAGTGAGGACAAGCTGGAACCTGTGAGTGTGGACTGGAAGCTGTCAGTCTGCCTGCAATTTTGGAGATGTGGGTGTCTCACAGGAGAAGCTCGTGCCCTCTGTCGTGGAGCCACACACACCCCTGGCCTAGGCATTGGAGAAGCTGAAGACGACAGGGGAAGGAGACCCAGCAGGAGGCCTGGCTGCTGCCCCACACCAACAAGCCAGCAGACAAGTGACAACTGGCATGAGTTACTACAGTGCCTGGTGCCCCTGGCCCAACCTTCAGAGCCCACGAACAACAGGGCTGCTCCTTCATTTCTGGCCTCCAAATCTCATGCAGTGTCTCTGTGGTCCATCCTAAAGAAAACATACAGGGAACTCTGGGAACTCAGCCTATCCAAGCTGACGACTTACAAACTGCAATGCACTGATGTTTGTGCCCACCCCTCACCCCCCGAATTCTTATGTTGAAATCCTAAACCCCAGTGTGACGGTATTAGGAGGCTGGGCCTTGGGGAGATGACTAGGCCATGCGAGTGGAGCCCTTGTGATTGGGATTAGTGCCCCTTTAAGAGAGGCCTGAGAGAGCTTGCTTGCCCCTTCCGCAACGTGGGGACACAGTGAGAAGATGGCCCTCACCAGACACCGAATCTGCCAGTGCCACGATCTTGGACTCCAGCCTCCAGAACCATGAGAAATAAGTCATTGGTACTGTGTGACAGCAGCCTGAATGGACCAAGATAGAAATCCATCACACTCTTCCAGCCTCTTCCTCTCCAGAATCTCAGGGACTGGGGCTTGGGATTTTAGAATTGATTAGTGACAAGAATGAGAAGAGAACTCAAACCCCAACTATCATTTCCCGGTAAAGAAAGTGAAGCCCATGGAGGCTGTGAACTGTCCATGGCCAATGGCAATGGCAGAGCAAAGGCAGATCTCCTGCCTCCTTTCCAGTCAACGCCAACTCCCTCCCCAGGACCGTTTCTTTCGCTGCGTGGCCAGCTCGGCCTTCAGTCTCGCTCGTACCTATTGTAGCGGTTATGAGCAAGGGCTCTGGGGTCACGAGAACTGCAGCTTTGCTAGTTCTTCCCTCTATCACCCCAGGCAGGTCATTTCACCGATATGACCCGGTGGTATAAAAATCTCTATCCAGCGACGACGATGACAGTCCATCGTGGGCTTGGCGGGAGAACTCAGAGATGACGTACGTGGAGTGTGGACGTCTAGCAGACTCGTACCAAGTATTCTTTTGATTCAACTCAGAGCCCAGCACCGCTGCAGCTACTCGGGTGTCTCTTTGCTGGGGGCCAGAGCACACGGGACCCGTCACCTTTCTGAGATCTCATTGGCTGCACTGATTCACTCTGGATCTTCCTCGACTCTGCAGGGAGCCTTCTACTTCCTCCCCTTCTGATGGCATCAGGAGTCACCCAAGCTGTTTTCAGCTCTCCCTCTGGCCCTGCTGTGCTGCCCCTGGGAATCTCCTGAACAAAAGCAAAGACGCCAAGATGACTTTTCAGGGTGGGCCTGCCCCGTCCAGGGCACCCGAGAGAGACCACGCACTGAGGAAGGCAGACCCTCAGTGGGCCCCAGGGCTGATCCTAGTTCCTCCTGACCCTGTAGGAGCCAGGCCTCAAGGTTGGCTGCTTAATAGAATCACCTGGAGTGAATTTGTTGAAGTATGAGAGTTAAAAAAAAAAAAAAAAAAAAGGCAGCAAGTGCTTTAAAAGGCATTAAATCAGAAATTCTAGGGTGGAGGCCAAGAGAGGGAATTTTTCAAAAGCTTCCCAGGTGAGTCCAAAGTGCGTCCCCTAGGCTGAAAATGACGACTAACAATTCTATCTGCAGCTGTGTCTCCCAGAACAGTGAGCTTGAGCTGTAAGGAACACCGGCACACAACAGACCGCCTCCAGTGGCTCCAAACACTGTCTATCTATGGGGACCGTTTATGCCATTTGACTTGGCAAATGCCTTCTGTACAGTAAGACAGGGTGACTTTAAGAGTTATGGAGAGATCCCTTGTGTACAGAAACTGCCTTTATGATGCTGCACAACACTATAAATTCTATTTAAGCTGAAGCTAAATTTTAGTTTCCACCCTGAATTATTTATTCCTCAATGAATGGTGAAACCCAAGAGGTGGTGGTGATCGCGTGTGTGAGTTGGTCGGGAGTGATTTAAAATCATGGCTACAGCTACTGCAGTAACGAATTCCACAAATGCAATGGCCATCGCAGAGCACTCACCTCTCATCAGGTCATTTGGCAAATTTACTATGCTCTGTAACTCCCAAACACGTCATTTTACCCTCCTGGGTAATGTGTGCACGCATCTGAAATGAGCAAGCGGCCCAGTGAGGCTGTGCACATGCCCTGGGCACAGTGAGACACAGAGGCTGAGGGCAAGTACCACTACACTCCCTGAAGTTACTGCTTCTATCACATGCGCTCCACTTCTGTAACCAGCAATCACCCCGGCCTTGGACACCTATACCCTGCCCCTCTAGCGGTGCCTCTGGGAGCGCCTTTCATGGGTCACTGTTCATTTGTCCCTCCTCTCTCGCCCCATTCCCAATCTCAGCCTAATGGTGAGCATGCATTTCTGTTGGACCAAACTTCAATATCTAACTGAACACCACGGTTGGTCACGATGCACCTCATTACCTTATAGATGAGATTCCCAAAGGAGCTAGGCAGCAAGGAGAGCTGTGGCTGGGGGCGGGGAGATAAACCTGCATAAAACAAATCCCTACAAATAACTTCAGCACAAAACAAACTGCAGACTAAACGGATTATCTGGGAGGTACCTTGTACCTTAATTCAATAACATATAACTCCTAACCCATGTCAGTTGTCTTGTTTCCACTTTTAATTCTGCCATTTTCTCTTAAAAGTAGGTTTTAACAAAGACAAGAGGGCTATTGTTCACCAAATCCCAGCTATGAATTCAGAGCATAGAGTCAAAGCTACAACAAAAAATTATCAATCTGCACAACTAATTTTAGAAAATAGTTTAGTAAATTTTTATAAAATTCATTTACAGGAGGCTATTCACATGTACTTATCAAATGTGCTCCTGATAATACATGAAAACGTAACTAAATAAACCGTGCACAACAAACGCAAGGCAAATTATATATATATAAAGAAGCAAAACAAGTTTTTAAGTAGAATATATTTATGTTGAAAAAACTAATATTGAAAGACAGGGCACTTGCTTATAATGCCATGGCAAGGATGGAGCCAACAGCCGTATTTCCCACCTTGCAGTAAGATTCACTACCACCCACAACACTGCTGTGCCAGCCACATCAAGAAATGCCCACTATACATATGAAATGCTTTATGCAAATACTTCTACCAACTGGAACAACAAACACTTTCAAATGCAACGTCAGGTCTGACTGTAATTTAGGGGAGAGGCTGGCAGGATACAGGTTTGCTCCTGAGAAGAGACTATGCAGGTCTCCTACTAAGTCTTGCATAATCAGAGGAGATGTGTGGTGACCAAGGTGGTGAACAGGACGTGTGAGAACAAGTGTCAAATGTCACTGGAAATAACACCCTCTGGGGGTGGCAGCACAGTGTGTACCTGGGGACACTTATTTCTGCACTCCAGTGTGGCCTGAGCAGAGTGGGAGCGGTTCCTGACTCCAGCTGGATTTGTCATGCCTCCTTTATAAGCTTACAGAGTTCAGACTCTCTAAGTCGTCACACTACAAGTATCTGCTAAACTGAGCATTCTACCCTGATAGTAGGAAAATAAACTTCAAGTAACAATGAGATTTCTTGCCCAAGGCACATGCAGGAAGCTTAGAGAGCCCCTGACCCAGACAGAGTGGGGCTCACCCCACCCTGCACGGCCAAGGACAAACTCTCTCCACCCACACTCAGGGAGCAAGGGCCGACTGTGGGGACAGAGCGCGCGCTCCCCGAGTGACAGGAGTGTTCGCGCGACAACAGCAGATGTCTGCACACCAGTGGGAGGGACCTGGGTAATGAAGAAGTAGAATGTCTCAACTTCTGGCAACCAAACTTTTTTTTTTAAGCTTTTGATAACCTGCTTCAGTAGAATTTCTAACACAAAGTCCTTTTTGCTTAAAAAGCAGACAACGAAGAAAATTTCAACTGGTGTACATTAATCTTCAGGGGTTTGTTTTCCCACCCCAAATTAGCTAATGGGCCGCACAGCATCCACTACGAACCACTAGTTCTAACTGTCAACCGCTAACACACACTCTCATGTCTGTGACACTTCACTTTGTGAACATGTTTAAAAAATTGGACTTTGCAATTAGGCAGCCCCTCCCTTGTCCAAGTCTCTGAAATCTCCACTCACCATGGCTACTTTCCTTTCACAAAAACACAACCCGCTCTAACCAAATATTCTACAACAATTCTAAACAGCCGTGTATTTTCATCAGTTAAGATAGTTTCCAAAGATCATAGGAAATCTGTCAACTCTCTTCCTGGTTCTGAGTTCTAAGTATTTACACTCCTCTTCTACTCTTCTCTCCTAAAAGGGTGTTTCTTTCCTGCTTAAAATAGTCTATCTGGCCTGCCCTCATGGTTCCTAAGCTGCCTGGTGACCAGAATCCCTTGGAAAGATGTTTAACATACAGCTCTCCCGGCTCTACCTAAAACGAATTAGCTGGCTTCTCCTGGTAATCTGCAAGCTTTCACAAGCAACGCAAGGTGGTTCTTAGCCACCCAGCACTCTCCTAGCACTTGGCAACCACTGATTTGTAAACCACCAGTTACAGGATGCTCACAATATGCTAGGGGCATTTGAGTGATATTTCAAGAATTATTCTTTCATTTCATATGCTTCTATTTCAAGAAGAATGAGAACTCTACCTAGAGAACTATGTGCTTACTAAAATAGGTAGATGAATTTGTCACAGAAATTGAATATCCTGTGCCAAGGTGCCTCATGTAAAAATGTACATCAGCAGAACTTTACCTAACATAACTCTGCTTCCCAAAGTTTCCCCCAGGAGATTCCAGTTGTTTTTTTGAATAGAACTAGAGACATCTGACCCACTAGCACTAACTCAGCTTATTCCAAAACACCTGGGCTGTTAGAGCGGTCTGTCTTGCCATAACAATGGTTGAAAGGATCTGTACTCCTGCCGTTTTTTTTTTTAAATACAAAGTTTCTTCTGTTGAAAATGATTAACATTTTAAGCAGGGGAAAGAAAAGCATCTACTAGATTAAATTTTAAAAGGATTTTGTTATTTGCTATACAAATATACATTTCAACTTTTACAACATTCACTTCAGTCTGACCTTTCCTATAGAGGAACCAGAGGTCAACACTTCAAGTCTCTGACTTCAAGGACATTATTACTGATACACAAATGCCCTCTGAAAGCCTCTGCAACCAACAAAAAGTACTAAAGATGACCAAGAGGTTCAGGTGTTAGGATACATTTTCCATGTTTTCCAACAGCACACAAACTTCTTGAAAGGAAAAAATAATCATATCTGAATACTTGGTCATCTTAAGTTTGCAATAATGCTTGCGGCTGACAGTCTAGGTCATGTGGCTTTACTATAAAACCTTTCTTTTCTTTGAACTACTGTCCTCCTTTATCCTTGTCCCAGGCAGAGTTCCTCTTTGTATGATGGCTCACAGAGCTATGCCTCTCCTGGTTCCCTTCACTGAAAGCCCTGGTCTCTCTTCTGTGGCTGAGCCCCTCTTCCTGGTCACATTTTCTTTTTCTTGTGGAAGCATCAGCACTAGCAGCTGGAGGTTCACACGGCACGTGAGGTCTGTGGTTGCTGGGAGTGGCTCCTTTGGTGGTCGACTGCTGCACAACGCTACCCAGATCCTGGTGACTTACAGGGAAGCCTGGCTCTCCCAAGGGAGGTGTTGCTCCAGGATGCTGGGGGCTCAGGGGCTGTGGATCCATCAGGCACTTCCCTTTGGCTTCAGGGATCATGCCCATCCTCCTAAGCAGCCGTGGGTCCCGAAGCCAGTCCTGCCCAGGAGGCCTTTCAGAGTCCTTTGCAGTAACAGTAGCTTCCTTTGAGTCAGAGGGTGTGTGGTACAGTGAAGAAGCAAAAGATGTCTTGGCAAATTCACTGTCGAGCTTGTTGCTGGGCAAGCCGCCCTGGAGTCTGGACACCTCTGGGGCTGTGGTCGGAGGGTGAGTCAGACTTCTCTGTAGTACAGGCTTCAGTTTCAGAATCTTCTGTGCATCATGTTTATAGTTTTTGTCGCAGGTCTTAATAATTGCACCACGCTTCTGAGCATCCTGAATCAGCTGATTCCAATGCTGATTTTCCTTGAAAAAAGGAGAAGGGAGAAACAATTACACCCCAAAGACATACCCATATGCTTGGGAAGCATGAGGTTCCAGCTTTTATTTCTGAACAAATAATAAGTATACTTTCATGAAGAGATTCTCAAGAATCCATTACTCGTTAGACAAAGCTGAAAGGAAAAATAAGCTGGAATACAGAATAATAACACCATGTTACTAGAAAAGAGCACTGGTTGCCATGTGTAAGAAAGCACTTCCACCATTTTTGCCTCTGGCACTCCGGCTACAGGATCGTCAGCTGTCACGCAGATCTGCACCAGCTGCCAGTAACCTCACGTAGCTACTTAAATTTCAATTAATTAAAATGAAATAGGGGCCAGCCTGGTGGTGTAGTGGTTCAAGTTCGCACACTCTGCTTTGACGGCCTGGGGTTAGCAGGTTCAGATCTCAGGTGTGGACCTACACATCGCTTGTCAAGCCATGCTGTAGTGCCGTCCCATACACAAAATAGAGGAAGATGGGCACAGATGTTAGCTCAGAGCCAATCTTCCTCACAGGAAAAAAAGAAAGAAAGAACATGAGGGAGAAAAAAAAGACAAAGCTTGAAGGAAAGAGAAGAAAAAGGATAGCTACCCTCATGTGGGCTCCTGTACTATTCACAAAGGTGGGTGAAGGTAGCAGTGAGGCTGCACATATAGTATTTACGCCCTGTGTGACCTTGGTAAAGTCACTTGACCTCTCTGAGCCTGTTTCCTCATCTGTAAAAGAGGAATAATATTTTATTTAATTGATTCTAAAATGCACATTGTTTTCACATTTTAACCATTTCTGAATTTGGGGTGACTCTTGGTGAGGTAGCAGTTTCCATGTACTTAATCCTGGAGGAATTCATGGCTAGGCAACTACAATCTCTTGACTTTTAGTCAATAAACCATTTAAAGAAGGAATGAGTCCCAGCTCTTGCCTGAACACCTATCCACGGACATCTTCTAATAAAGACAACAAAGTACCAGCATTAAAATTCAGGGAATGGAGATTAGGGGTTGGAAGAAAACCCAAGACACCATGGTGGATGCTCCTAGGAAACGGTGAGTCATCAACCCTTCTGATTACACAGGGGAACGGTACGTGCATGAACAGGGACACACATGACTATGAATTGGTAAATGATTAAGTAGTGTTAGATTCTGAAAGTGGAATATTTAGGAATATCTTAACCTATTCAGTTTGTTTGTATTTTCTCTTTTATGTATGAACAAGAGTGACATACTAAAAATCTGTGTAAGAGAGTTCTCTCAATAAATATCAAACAAAAATTCTAAGTGAAAATAAAGTGCTGTGACAGTTTAATAGTAGCACATAAAGATTAATAATGTATATTATAATTAATGGCTTCCTGGAGTTGACAGACTATGGTACAATGCTGACTTCACAGGATTCCTGCATGTCTTAGAGGAAGTCATAAGTAAAACACACGCCAAGTGACTGGCATATACCAGACAGGCCCACGAGAGCAGCAGCCGGCTCTGGGGCTCGGATCTCGCTCTCACTCAGGAGAGCTCGAGAGAGTCTGACCCTGTGGCTGAAGCACAGATGTGAAGCAGATGGCCTTGCTGCTATTTCTGCCAAGTCTACTGCACCTAAAAACTTGGCGTTTAATCCAATCCTAAGATCAGAGAAACAGTTTTGAGAAGGGGCTATTAGTCTTGGTGTCTAGAGGAAACCAAGTGACTTAATCACTGATTTCATTGTTACAAGGGTGGGAAAAAAAAAAAGGCCCCAAGGACAACAAAAGTATGTCGGAAAGCCCAAACGGTAAGCTGCGAGTTTTTCTATTCTATTCTTTCTGTAGCACTGGCTTCCCAGAGTGAAGATAATGTCTGCACCACAGCTAGAGATCAGTGGCCTTCAAATCTGTGTAAGTGTGACCCTGGGGCTCACAAAGATTTTCTAAGGGGGATGTGAGAATGTTTTATGGGAATCGATTTCTAAACCCCAGCTTCCTATGTTTAGGGGCTCTCCTGCCCCTCCACTCCATCCTTCACAATCACAGTGACTCATCCATCCCAAATCTGACCACAGGGTGCACTGTCAGGGCGCATAACAACTCCTGGCTACCAAATAAAGGGGGCAATAAAAACAGGGGTGACCAAGAAGGCTCCTTTAATCACGGTGTCACTAGAGACACAGCTCTAATAACATTTTACTTTTCAGATTTAACCATTATCAAAATTCAACTGTGTAAAAATAATAATTGTAATAGGTTATTCAATTGACAAGAAATCATTTTTTAGCACTCAGATCCTTATGGTCACAGGAAAAATAATTTTTTAAAAAACATTTTATTTTGAGGTAACTATAGAAACACAAGAAGTCACAAAAAAAGTACAGAGAGGTTTTGTGCGCCCTTCACAGTTTCCCCAAATAGTTATGAAAAACCAGTTTTTAAACTTTCAATTTATACATAAATTTTTGTGGCAAAGGAGCATAATAGTGAGATGAACAGAAAGGCTTTTAATTATAAAAATATATTATGTCACTGAATTGTATCCTAAACAAGTCTGACTGGAAATTCAATCTCAAAGAGCAGAAAGACTAACACTGCTCTCTATTTCATTGGATACTTTGAAGAGTGATGTAACAGATTTATCTTTAACAGCTTTATTTTAAAATGTCAATATTTATAACACATTAGAAATAAAATCTTTAGCAATACTTAAACTTATATAAAAATTTTTCAATATTGACTTAGAGAGTACACAGCTTTTAAAAATCCTTTTAAAGGGGCACACAAACAACAGAAGTGGTAAGAGTTGAATGAGAAAGACTGTCTTCAAATGCCCTCTGGTGCTATCAACCAAAACAGAGGAGATAGCTACTGAGTCGGTTCTTCTCCTAAGATAACCAGTGCATTTGTTAAATGGAGAATTAGGGGGCCAGCCCTGTGGCTCAGCAGTTAAGTGCACGCGCTCCGCTACTGGCAGCCTGAGTTCGGATCCTGGGCGCGCACCGACGCACTGCTTGTCGGGCCATGCTGAGGCGGTGTCCCACATACAGCAACTAGAAGGATGTGCAACTATGACATACAACTATCTACTTGGGCTTTGGGGAGAAAAAGGGAAAAAAAGGAGGAGGATTGGCAATAGATGTTAGCTCAGGGCTGGTCTTCCTCAGCAGAAAGAGAAGGATTAGCATGGATGTTAGCTCAGGGCTGATCTTCCTCAAACAAAAAAAAAAAGGAGAAATCAGAAAAACTGACAGTTATTATTAATCCTAATGAGACAAGCAGCAAATATATGCTTTATCTAGCTGTGCTATCACCGAATTCAGTTGTACTATTCCTCTACTAAGATGTAAACTTGCCACCTCGTCTAGAGCAGCATCTGTGCTGACACAGGAGCTCTAATGCCCCTCAGCTCCCAGGTGAAACAGAGCGAGGACTGCTCCAAGTGCCAAAAAAGAAAAGAAGATCCCAGCATACTGTTGTAAACTCCCTCTCTCTGGCATTAAGTTGGGCTAGTCACAGCCACATTTACTAAGAGCTGAATAAGCGCCAACCACTCTTCCAGCACTTTACATGCATGGATTTATATATCTTCTTAACATCCTACGATGTAGATACGCTTTTTTTTAAAAAGGTCACTTTGAGAGTATACTGTTGATATCTGGGCCTTGGACTGAGAAAAGGTGAGTGGTTTACATGTATAAAAGCTTCCAGGAAGAAGTTGCTGGAGGATGTAACAACCAGGGGGAAGATGCTCATTATTCTGTAACCCTGAAATCATTTCCATTTTGATGGAAAATAAAAACAAAACTTCAACACAAATTAACAACGGGCAAACTGTTGAGTTCTCTGGTCCCTAAGAATGTACCTACCATCAGGGTCCTCAAATGTCCGAGGATGAAGAGGCTGTACTTGGCTCGTGTAATGGTGACATTCAATCTCTGCAAACTTGCCAGAAATCTAAACAATTAAAAAAAAAAAAAAGAGTTACTTCTTTCTACAGAATGCCGTGCCACACAGAGTAGGTGAGACACAGGCAATACTTCAGACAGCTTGTCTCAGGCTCCTTCTACTTCTTTCCAGTCACAGTGCTTTCTCATTCTTTTCCCCAACACAGGGTGCCTGGCAGAGAGGCAATTCCCATCAAAAATAGTTAACAAACAAAATGCCCCCTGCTTTCCTTCAAAGTGACGTATCTGTCAATTTCCTATCTCAACTTGGATGAGACTCTGGAAATTGTAATGGTATGATTTTTAAGCCTTAAAAACATCCTAAAAATATGATACTAGATCAATTAATCTTAAATGTAAATATATTTGAGATTAAAATATTGTGGAACTAGTGCAGAAATACACAAACATCAGACAAATGTATCAAGAGATCTGAAAAGAGCTCAGAAATAATAGAATTTGTATATCATAAGATGAAATTTCAAAACAGTTGGAAAAGAATGGACTATTCACAAAATGGTCCTGAGATAACTGGCCTCCATTTATATATGCAGACTATCTCTAGATAGGGGCAGAGATAAATTATTATTTCTTTTAAGAACAATTAAACAATATTTAAATCTGTAAATTCCGTCTGCTTCTCGTGAGAAGGAAAAAATAATTACGTAAGAGTCTCGGGACCCTGAGACTCACGGGAGTTTTCTATCACCCATTACTGTGTCCTTAGCATCTTCGCTAAGTAAACTGACAGTAGTTAATGTTAACAAACTTAACCAAAGCAGGAAAACACAGAGAGAAGAGGAAAAACCACCTTACGGCACATACCAAGGGAGAGGAACAGGCCCCCGCAAAATACACTTGATCCAGTCATTTATTTCACTCTTATTAAATAAACAGATTCACTCTGTGATGTGGGTTAATATACAAGGTACCAAGAGAAGCAGACCTAACAATGGATCAACTTCACAACTTAAAAAAGAAACCTTCAGGATATTACACAAGTTTTTATAAAAGAAAATAAAGCAAATGATGGTATTCTCTAACAGTGATCAAAAAACAGATCTAACTCTGGATTATAAACAAGTAAAAACATCAACGACAGTTACTCACCCGATTGAGCCTTGCATGGCATTTGCTCTGACACATGTAACAATAACACAGTCTTTCTGACGACCCTGGAATGCATCCACAGTATCTACTTCTGCTGGCCTATTTACAAGAGAAACATGTTTACTAGGAAAGGTAATTATTAAATAGACATATTTATACAGTAGTATTCTTCAAAAACACTTTTCATGGTATTTTTTTAATTGAAATATAATTAAGATCATATAAAAGTCACCATTTTAAAGTATACCATTCAATGGTTTTTAGAACATTCACTATGTTGTACAACCATCACCACTATCTAATTTCAGAACATTTCCATCACCCAAAAGAGAAATCTTGTGCCTAGAGCCGTCAGTCTCAATTTCCCCCTCTCCACAGGCCCTGGCAACCACTAATCTACTTTCTGTCTCTGTGGATTTTTCCATACTGGAAATTTCATATAAACAGAATCATAAAATACGTGGCCTTTTGTGTTTGGCTTCTTTCACTTAGCATAACGTTTTTAAGGTTCATCCATGTTGTAGCATGTAGCAGTACTGCATTCCTTTTGACTGAATACTTGATTCCTTCTATGACTGAATATCTGATTATACAGATATACCACAATTTATTCATCCATTTACAAATGATGGACACTGGGTTGTTTCCACTTGTTGACTATTATGAATAACGTTGCTATGAATATCCATGTTCAAACTTTCGTGTGTGAGCATTTTTTCAATTTTTTCAGGTCTACACCTAGAAGTGGAATTGCTGGATCCTATGGTAATTTTACGTTTAACTTTTTGAGGAACTGCCAAGCTGTTTTCCAACTGTGATTTACCATTTTACATTCTCACCAGCAATGCATAAGGATTCCCCGCCACATCCTTGCCAAAACTTATTGTTGTCTGGTATTTTATTATAGCCATCTTGGTGGGTGTGAAATGGTATTTCATTGTGGTTTTGATTTGCATTTCCCTAGTGACAAATGACGTGGAACATCTTTTCATGTGCTTTTTGGCCACTTACTTATCTTCGAGAAATGCTACTCAAATCTCTTGTCTATTTAAAAAATTAAATTATCTTTTTATTATTGAGTTGCATGAGTTCTTTATATATTCTGGATACAAGACCCTTATCAGATATATACCATTATTTTGTTGAGGATTTTGGCATCTATATTCATAAGGGATATTGGTCTGTAGTTTTCTTGTGATGTCTTTCCACGGCTTTGGTATCAGGGTAACACTGGCCTCATTAAACAAGTTAGAAAGTCTTCCCTCCTCTTCTATTTTTTGAATGAGTTATTAATTCCATCTCTTTACTTTTTACAGGACTGTTCACATTTTCTATTTTTTCTAGAGTCAATTTTGGTAGTTTGTGCGTTTCTAGGTTAAGAAACTTTTGAGTTCATGAATTTCCAATTTTTTTTTTCTTTCGTGAGGAAGATCAGCCCTGAGCTAACATCCATGCCAATAATCCTCCCCTTTTTGCTGAAGAAGACCGGCTCTGAGCTAACATCTATTGCCAATCCTCCTTTTTCCCCCCCCCGCCCCGCCAAAGCCCCAGTAGATAGTTGTATGTCACAGTTGTACATCCTTCTAGTTGCTGTATGTAGGACGTGACCTCAGCATGGGCGGAGAAGCGGTGTGTTGGTGTGCTCCTGGGATCCGCACCCGGGCCACCAGGAGCTGAGCGCGTGCACTGAACTGCTAAGCCACGGGGCAGGCCCTGAATTTCCAATATTTAATCTTTAATTTCACCACTGAGGTAAAAAGGAGACAAAAACGTCATCTTCATCTTATACGTAAGTGCATTAAAATGGTTAAATAATTTATTTCAAGTGAAAATGTGACTTCGTGAGTCTTGCTAGAACTAGAATTCAGATTAACAAATCACGGACTAAAGGGAAAGGCCTGGAGAGTCTCTCAGTCAATTCCATTGTCAAGTCTAACGGTGACGACATTCCAACTGGCAGGAGATACTCTGTCCACAGACGCGGCAAGTGTAACCATTCCCTATCCAGCACAAGTCTATAGAAGCCAAAGTGTCAGTCTCCTTGTGCTAAACCACCACGGTCTAAGACCACTCCCTAGAGTTAAGTTTCCTTTTCTTCTTTCCTACTGCCCCCTCTTTCTTCTTAATTCAACAGAAAAACTGGAAATATCTGTAAAAATATAGATGCCTCACCCTTTTCTGTCAAACTCTTTGTCCAAATCTTTCTGAATCATCGTCTTCTGAGCTTTGTAATGGGTTATTATGCCAATGTTTCGGAAAGTAACATCTCTTCTTTTGTCTTTAATAAGTTTAATTATTTCCATTACCAGTTTTATTTCTTGAACATTTACATATGAGCTAAATAAGATGAAAAAAAAAAAACAACCACCAACACATCAAAACTAATAGCAGTCCAATTGCTAACTTAAGTTCCATTACAGTAAAGGGCAGGCAGCTAGGTTTCACCTTTATTCAGTCAGCAGAGACTCAAAGAGGCTGTTATAATGACCACTAATATCATATACTATGAGTAAATATAGCTGTCAAGTGAAACATAAAGTCGTAAGAGAGAAAAGAGTTTGGAGTCAACCAAAGTTTAGGTACCAATTTCTTCATCTGTTAAAACAAGGAGAGCAACAGTAAGAACAAAAGTATTTATATAGTGAAGATATGAATAATAACTAGCTAACATTATGGATTTACTATCTTCCAAACACTGAGAAAAGTGCTTTAAATGTATTATCTTCCTTAATTCCCCACCACTGGCTGTACAGACCATGCACCACACAACTGAGGGGATGCCATCCACACAGACTGAATGTGATGTGGCCCCCAGAAACGAACACCATGGGGTCCTGCAGCAGGCTCGTGTCCTCAATGTCCTCCTCAATGGCCTCATCCTGCACTCCTAATTCATCTCCCAAACTACACGTGTTCCCTCATTACCATACCACATGCAACATGCATGAACCCTGGGGGATACACTGTACCTGCACCTTTATTTCCAGCCACCTTATCTGTCTCACCTTAAGAGCCTTAAATACCCACTATCCTAACTTCAAGACTTCCTATGTAGACAACCCAGTCAGCTAGCTCTCTCTTCCATCCCTGAAATCTTCATTTTCCTTGGTCACCTCTCAGGTCAACACTCCTCTTGTGACCTTCCATCCCCATAACACTTATGGGGCTCAATTCTCAACCCTCTGCTCCATTGCACATCCTTGGTCACTGCTTCTCTATTTCTAACTTCTTCATTGAATGTTCCCCTCCTTCACTTCCATTAACGAATATCTGATTCTTGCTAGGGACACCACCTGCTCTGAAGCTCTCTCAAGACACAAAGGTGGAATTTATATTTCCTCACACTTCATGATGAAGAGGTGGCATTTGTACCTGCACTAACAAATGCAGCCTCCGGACTATTATTTCTCTAATCTCTCACAAGAAGCTCTGGCTCCTCTGAAGTGTTTCCTAATTAGCAACCGCCCCTTTTCTGTTGTCATTCACAAATCACCTCAACACGTTTCCTTATTCACAATCCAATATATAAGTACCGTCCATCCTCTGTCTCACACCTTAATTCAACTGAACCCATACGTATTCGTCACAATACTTAACCCAACTGGAGTAATTAATTACCTTGGTGATGACCTGGTTAATGTCTGTCTCGCTTATCAGACCACAATAGCCTTGCACTGGGGCCGTGTCTGTTTTACTCACAGCTGTGATCTCAGCACGTATCTACTCAAGTGTTTAGCACATGTTAGGTAATATGATCTCTATTATATAGTTAAGAAGAATTAAAAGGCTGAAATACATAGAGAAAGGTATCAGTAATTTATGATAAAAAAGGAGAAGCTATTAATCCCGCTAAATGAAAATGATTGTAACCTGGCACTAGGCTGAGAAAGGCACACGGAAAATGTTTTGAATATAAACATGAACAACAACAATGTAACAGTTCTGGGACTGTCACTGGGGATTGAAGAAGAGAACGTACTCATTATCTCGTCTTTCTGAACCGTCTGCGACATCAAACACAAGATAGGGTTGAAATGGCCAGTCAGATGAACACCGACTAGTCTCCGTCAGTCTACAAAAAAGCAGCCACCATTCAGGAGTCAACTTATAAGAAAATATTTTTTAAATTATTATTACCATATTTTTTTGTGGGGGGAGGGAGCTGGGGAAAATAAGGGGACAAGAAGGACCTTCTTTTATTTAAATTTGTTTTAGCGAAAAGTACAAAAAGAATTTTATTTCTATTCTAGTGCTAGGGAGAATCATCTATGTAATTAAAATATAACAATTACTCATAATATACAGTAAGTGAAAAAAGCAAGCCATGGAATACTATCTAGAGTATGGTGTGATTTTTTTTCCCCCAAAGATTTAAAAAGAGAAAAAGTAAAAACAGATACGCATAGTACAAGAACTGGAAGTAAATATACCAAAATGTTACCAGTGATTATTTCTGGGAGATATAAATATGGGTGGTTTTCTTCCCCCTTCTTTTTTTATCTGCATTTGCTGCACTCAACATCACTTTTATAATTAGAAAACACTATTAAACCTTTGATTTATGCTTTTTATGACAAGACTTAAGAACATGGTAAAACAGCTATTCTTCCTAAGCAGCTAAACCTACAAGTAAAATACCAAGCAATGAATGGAACCCACCTATTTGTTCTCAAGCTTCTGTTATAAACATAATTAGAAGGGAAGAGACATATGTCTGGATGCATCCTGTACTGAATGGTAAGCTGCAAAATCGGCAGTCTGCTGATCACGTTGTGTTCCACATTCTCTTCCAGCAGTTTGCAGAAGCGGGCCATCATGGATTGGTCATAGCCATAATCCTGTGCCTTCTGGAAGGGGGAAAATACAGTAGTAATCTCCAAGAATTCATTTGTACTTTTCCCATTATTATAAAAACAATTACTGAGCTCTAATCTGTACATGGCAAGGTTTAGGTGCCATTACCAATAACCAAAGATTTAGAGAAAGAACATGTTTCTGACTCTGGCCCTTGGAAAGCCATGTAGCTTGACTACAAAAGTTGAGGTATTTTCTCTTTATTTAGAAAACCCACATACTGCTTATGAAAGTGCTGTGAGCTTGTGAATGACCACAACTGAAGCCATTTTGATGCTAACAAGAGGTTACCTGAAAGAATCAAAGATAAAAGAAGCAAAGAAATGTAATAACAGATTTTAACAATTATTTCTGAGGCATGCTCTCACAAATAGAAATATTGAATATCATTGTAAACAAGCCTTTTAAAGACCAATTTCCTCATCCATCCATCCCATATCTACTGAGCAGACCCCAGACACTGCTAAGGTTAATAAGATCAAGTCTCACAGAACTTATATTCTAGTGGAGGAGACAGACAACTGACTTAGTACGTTGATTTCATAAACCTAATAATGGGTTATAACCTGCAATCTTTGTAATTATTTTCTGAATTTTCCTCAATAAGCCTGTATTATTTTTGCAATAATAATTTAAAAAGCCGTAATGGGGGGCTGGCCCGGTGGCATAGTGGTTAAGTTCGTGTGCTCCACTTTGGCGGGCTGAGGTTCGCAGGTTTGGATCCCGGGCGTGGACCTACGTACAGTTCATCAAGCCATGCTGTGGCGGCATCCCATATACAAAACAGAGGAAGACTGGCACAGATGTTAGCTCATGGCCAATCTTCCTCAGCAAGAAGAGGAAGATTGGCAACAGATGTTAGTTTAGGGCCAATTTTCCTCATTGAAAAAAAAAAAAAGCCCTTATGGATTTTTCTCATTTTTGCTGTTTTTAATCAATCACTAAAGTAGGCAGTAAAGTTCAGGCCTGTCAACAATCCTTTTTCACTATATGCTGAGGCCCTTAGAAGACAGAAGTTAAAGGTCACCTGCAGCAGCTTTTCCTTACCACACGGGTTTTTAATCAGAGAGAGGTGTGCTTTAGAGACAGGTGTGCTTCTAGGCCACACCCTACCTTCATCACACACGTGTGCTCAGACGTCAAAGAACTGCACTACCGTTCTGAATACCTCCAAAGTCAAAAACAACGAAGACAACAACATGCATTCCATAACTGAAAACACGCTTTGAAAATGACCTGTTCTCTGGGATTCATTATGCAGCCACTACTCTACATTTGTACAAATAATCTACGTATTAGTAAAATATTCAAATTTTATTAGATTTCCTCAAATATGGTCTAACCTATTCAGACTACCCCAAACACCTACTGCATCCTGAGTCTGGTGTGCATTTCTAGGAGCCATCTTGAGTGAGATTAAAAACAATCAAGTGGAGTGGACCACAATCTAGGTGCTGATCTTCCTACTAGCAGAGCTGACAATCTCTTCTTGTCCTGTCACCTTCACTTTCAGAGGATGTCAGGGCCACAGACATTTTCTTGCACTATAGGATACAGAATTCTAAAACTGGAAATGTACTATAAAAATAATTTCTCTTTATAATGTTTTCCTCCAATTTTCACATATTTAAATATAAATCAGAAGGCTGGGATTCTTTTCCTTGCTTTTCAAGTTTTTATTATTGTTTTTGTGTTTATGTTATAAAAATAAATTAGATACAGTCCTTAAAAAGCACACTGCCTTTCCCAAAGGCCAAGTCCAACACACGTGTAACACGATCTTTCTAGTTTTCTGGTCTCCGACACTTAATACGGCTCCTGTCACACATATACATAAGCGTAATTACGGACAAAGCGACATCTTCACAGACTTTTACTATTAAGACTCAAACAGTGGTTCTCTTTTCTCACCCATTCCCTACTTTTCCCTGCAAATACAAGATGATGATCCAAGAAAGACCTCCACTTCCCAAAATAAAAGAACCAAAAAGCCCCTTTCACTTCAAAGCAATATGAATATGAAAACACTTACCATAGAAATGACTGTGGGAGGGAGCTGTTTAGGATCTCCTACGAGGATAAGCTTGTTACAACGATGGATAAGTGGAGTCAGAGTTTCGACTTCACAAGACTGTCCAGCCTTGGTAAGAAAGTACAGAATGGAGAAATACTCTTTTAACTGTCTTTGATATTTATTTATCCATGTACAATTCATCTAATTCAGAAAAGTTCTACCCATTCAGGAAAGTACTACACTCTCTCCTGCACCAAATATCAAAAGTAAGGATTTTTTTTGGTTAGAAAACAAAACAAACAACAACAAAAATAAACACTCTAACACTCATTAAAAAAAAAAAATCACACGTATTTTGAAGTCAGCCACCAGGCAGGTGCCACTAACGACTTGGGAACCAGCCACAAGCTAGGCGGCCATGTAATGTCCCAGGTCTGTGCTCTTTGCTCCTGCTGAGCACGTGCCTGAGGGAACTACATGTCTGTGTGTCCCATGCTCCCGCCTCGCTTTCTCTCTTGCTCCTGAGTAGGCCTCTTCAATTGCAAGACTCAAGTTTCTCTTCAATTCAACGACATTTTCTTCAATTATTTCACCACTTCCACTTTCTCTATTCTTTCATTTTGGTGAATACCAGACCTTGGATCTCCTGGGTCAATTCTCTGTATACCATTTTCCATCTCTTTTGTCTCCTGGCTCTACATTCAGGCAAACAGTAGGTATCCAATAAATGTTTGCTCAATGAATGAACTAGGAATAAAAGATGTTAGCTGAAAATGTTGTGGCTCAGAGCTGTCCAAAGTTATATTAAAAATGCTTCAAAAGGTAACCACAGATACTCCAAGCAGGAGCTAGATAATCCTTGGGAGGGATTTTGCTGTAACCATTAGGCACCCTTAAGACTATAATCCCAATAGTGGAAAAGCAATTTTAACCGTGATGGTAGCATATTTCAATATAAAAGATCACCATGTAATGACAGG